CAGAATTTCTCCCTCCCATCTCAGCTCCAGCTCCCTCTGCCAGCTGGAAACCCTTCCCCCTGCTCCCATCCCTCCCTGCCCTTGTCCCAAGCCCCTCCCCAGCTTTCCTGGAGCCCCTTCAGGCACTGGAAGGTGCTCTAAGGTCTCCCTGGAGCCTTCTTTTCTCCAAGCTGAACACCCCAACTCTCCCAGCCTGGCTGCAGAGCAGAGCTGCTCCAGCCCTCCCATCATCTCTGGGGCCTCCTCTGGCCTCTCTCCAACAGCTCCATGTCCTTCCTGTGCTGGGGACCCCAGCCTGGCCCCAGCCCTGCAGGGGGGTCTCAGCAGAGGGGCCAATCCCCTCCCTGGCCCTGCTGGTCACACTGCTGGGGATGCAGCCCAGGACACAAGGGGTTTCTGGGCTCATGCTGAGCTCCTCCTCACCCAATGCCCCCCAAGTCCTTCTCCTCAGGGCTGCTCTCCATTTCTTCCTCCCCCAACCTGTGTGCTTGGGATCATCCCCAACCCAAGGACCTTGCACTTGGCCTCAGTGAACTTCATGAGGTTCACACAGGCCCACTCCTCCAGCCTGTCCAGGTCCCTCTGGATGGCATCCATACCCTCAAGGAAACCAACCCCACCACTCACCTTGGTGTCTTCTGCAAACCTGCTGAGGGTGCACTGGCTCTCACCATCTATGTCACTGATGAAGATGTTTCATAGCACTGGTCCCAGTACAGACCCTTGAGGGACACCATTCATTACTGGTTTCCACTTGGACATTGAGCCACTGACTGTAACCCTTTGGACACAGCCATCCAGCAGATTCTTGATCCATCTCACAGCCCATCCATCAAACCCATATGTCTCCAATTTAGCAGCAGGGGTGTTGTGTGGCACCACAAAAAGGCCTTACAGAAGTCTAGGTAGATGACATCTGTACCTCTTCCCTTGCCCACCAGTGCAATCACTCCACCACAGAAGGCCACCACCTTTCTCAGGCACCTTTTGCTTCTGGTGAAGACAACCTGAAACCCCAAAGCTTTTTGGAGGGCACATAGGGATGGGGAGTGGGCAGGGACTGGGGTTGCCTGCATCAGGAGTGGTGGGGGTGGATTTGGCCAAGGCTTTTTTGGCCACGTGTGTCCAAGAGTGGTGTGGAGAACACAGAAGAGATGGAGATGGCCAAGAAGAATTAAATCAGAAGGCTTCAGAGAGATCAGCCTTGGGGAGGGACCTGGAGACAGGGCAAGGGAGCTACCAGGTGGCTTGGGAATCTTGAGGACCACTTCCTTGTCATGAACCCCTTCCCCGGCTACACAACAAAACATAGAGATGGGCAGGAGAGATGAACAGGCTGGAGCTCCATCTCCAGCTTTTTTGCAGCTTTACTAATTAAGTAGGTGCCTTGAGAAGGTGCCCGAGAAGGTCATGCCTTGACTCCAGCATCTCTCTTGGCTTTGGTACCACCAGCATCCAGGGGGATGGGGCGAAGGTCTTTGGAGCTGGAGGCTCAGCACCCAGCTGATGTTCTGCCTGGAAAACAAGCTTTTTGTTTTCAAAGCTGTTCCCAAATCATCACTAATTGCATCCGTGCAGGTGCCAGGAGACAAACGAAGCTTAATTAGGGCATCCAAAAGGGTCAGATCTTCTCCAGTTAGGGCAAGGTTGGAGTTCCTCCAGGGCCAAGAGTGGGTCTGGGCTTCGATCCCACCACCTCTCTGACAGGGTGGTGAAGGGCCATCTGAAGGGCCATAGTGCCTGGGCATGGTGGGAGATGGAGTTTTTTTGGATCATTGACATCTCACCTGTGCTTCTGGGACATGGACAGCAGCTTTGTGTTCCTGCAGGCACCTCCAGAGCCCAGCAGAGGAGCAGGTGTTGGTGACCCCATGTGCCCCAAGCACCAAGAACCCATTGAGTTGGGAAATCAGCCTTTCTCAGAGCATCATCCTGCCAGAACCCTCACTTCTCAAGGTCCCTCAGCATCCTCACAGCACCTGTGATGCTCCTCACCTCCTGTGGCCCCCAGCAGACCTGGGATCACCCTGTCCTCAAAACCCCATCCCCATCCTGTCCCTATCTTGGCACAGCACTGGTGGCATCAGCTTCATCTCTGGAGAGGACAGAACCATCAGCTCCAACCCTGGAGGACAGAACCATCAGCTCCATCCTGATGGATGTCCCTGCTGGCCCAGAGACTCATGGTTGTCACCTCTCCATGGAGGTGACCCTGTGTTGGGTACAGTAGCACCCCCCCCCCAGAACTGAAGGGACCAGAAGGAACCATCGTGCTGCCCACATTTATTTGGTCGTAGCCCTGCAGAGGTAGCACGTGGCATGGACACGAGTCCACACCATCTCCCACCCCCAGCCAGGGTCTCCTGGGGGTGTCAGGGTTCCCTGAAGGGGGTTTTGGTCTGCTCCCCATCACCCAACTCCTCCTGCCCTGCGGGGCACAGGACAGAGGGGCTTGTCCCCAGCCAGGACACTAGTCCTTGGCCACATCACATGCCCGCTGGGTGGCCACCTCCACGGCGTTCATGACGGTGGCCCTCAGTGCTCCCTTCTCCAGCTGGTGCAGGGCATGGATGGTGGTGCCCCCGGGGGTGCAGACATCTCCCCGCAGCTTCGCCGGGTGCTCCCCTGTCTCCAGCATCATCTTTGCTGCACCCTGTGGGAGACCAAGGTGGGTCAGAGAGGCAAGGACTTCCCAAACCTCCCCTTCTTCTCGCCCACGCATTGGAAAGCACTGGAAGTGGCTGCACAGGGAAGTGGTGGAGGCACCAGCACTGGAGGGATCTAAAAAAATGTGTGGATGTGCTGCTGAGGGACATTCTTCACTATGAGGGTGGTGAGAGCCTGGCCCAGGTTGCCCAGGGAAGCTGTGGCTGCCCCATCCCTGGCAGTGTTAAAGGGCAGGTTGGATGGGGCTTGGAGCAGCCTGGGCTGGTGGGAGGTGTCCCTGCCCATGCAGGGGGTTGGATCTAGGTGGGCTTTAAGGTCTCATCCAACCCAAACCACTCTGGTATTCTATGACATGGTTTAATGGTGGACTTGGCAGCGTTGGGTTAATGGTTGGACTTGATGATCTTAAAGGTCTCCAACCAAAACGATTCCCATCACCTGCACCCCATGGTGGGGGACAAGGCACCAAAGCATCTGTCCCACCAGCACAGCATGACAGACTGGTTTGGGTTGGAAGGACCTTAAAGATCATTCAGTTCCAACCGCCCTGCATGGGCAGGGACACCTCCCACCAGCCCAGGTTGCTCCAAGCCCCATCCAACCTGCCCTTCAACACTGCCAGGGATGGGGCAGCCACAGCTTCCCTGGGCAACCTGTTCCAATGCCACACCCTCCGCTGCCTCCTGGTGGCCTCATCTTCATTTTCAAGAGGGGAAACTGAGGCAGGGCAGTGCCAGGGGAGAGGCCAGGGTAGTGCCAGTGTGAAGGGGCCAGGTGGAAGCTGTGGAGCAGGAGGGACAGGAGTGATGCCAGGTTGTCCTCGAGGACCATCCCAGACTCACCAGCAGCGTCTGAGCCGCGATCCTGCTGGCCAAGCCACCCGGCATCCCCATCTTCACCGCCCCCTCGGCCAAAGCTTCTGCAAACAGGTAGACCTGGAGGAGAAAGACCATTGAGGGGGGGAGGTGAGCCTGGCAAAATAGGAAAGTGAGGAGACCCCCAACTCCTGTCAGGGGTGGGATTTCTCCCGGCATCCCGTGTCCCGCCGGGCTCTTACATAGGCCACCCCGCTGCCGCTGAGGCCGGTGTGGATGTTGATGTAGGACTCAGGGACCTCCTCACAGAGCCCACAGGAGGACAAGAGGTTCTTCAGCAGGGTGGCTTCCCTGTCACCAGCACCACTGCCCCGGGCAAAGACCATCGCCCCTGCCTGCACCACGCAGGGCAGGTTGGGCATGAGCCGCAGCACCTTGGTCCCGGCAGGGAGAAGCTGGGGAGAAATGGGGATGGGAGAAGGGGGTGCCAGCTCCGGGCAGCACCCAAGGGTGCCCTGAGACACTGATGGGTGGTGCTCGTTGGGGCTGGTGGAGAAGAGAGGGGTGGTGGGGAAGGAGCTGGGGATGCAGCCCGGGTGGGGACAGGGCCATGGTGGCGTGTCCTTCTCCACGGGTGCAAATGGGAGGAGGGGGAGGAAGAGGGGAAGGAGGAGGAAAAGGAGAAGGAGGAAGAAGAAGAGGAGAAGGAAGAGAAGGAGGAGGAGGAAGGACAGAAGGAAGAGGAGGAGGAGGAGCAAGAGGAGGAGTTGGACGTGATCTTAAAGATCTCTTCCAACCAAAACAATTCTAAGAGGAGGAGGAGGAGGAAGAAGAGGAGGAGGAGAAGGAGGAAGAAGAGGAGGAGGAGGAAGAAGAGGAGGAAGAATAGGGCAAAATGTTAGACTTGATCTTAAAGGTCTTTTCCAACCAAAATAATTCTGAGTCTAAGAGGAAGAGGAGGAGAAGGAAGAGAAAGGAGAAGAGGAAGAGTTGGACTTGATCTTAAAGGTCTTTTCCAACCAAAAAAAGTCTGAGTCTATAAGGAGGAGGAAGAGGAGGAGGGAGGGAGAAGAGGAGGAGGAGGAGGAGGGGGCTCCCCCGCTGCAGGGTCTGGAGGGTGACCCCAGCTGCCAGGGAGACGACGACGTGGTGGGGCCCCACGGCAGGACGGATCTCCTGCAGGACGCCCGGCAGGACGTGGGGTTTGGTGGCCAGGAAGACCAAGGTGCTCTCCTGCAGCACCTCCAGGTTGCAGTGGGTGGTCCGGCAGCCCGACTCCTGCCCGTGGGGCAGGGAGGGGTGTCACACAGCCTGTCACCCCCCCACACACCCCCACGGGCAGGACACCTTCTCATGCAGGGACGCAGCCTGGGGACACTCCGGCCACAAAGCCACCAAGGCTCTGCATGGATTTCACCCGAGGATGGATGAGACCAAGCCCTGCCTCATGGCAGGGGGGAGGAGCCCCCAAAACGGTGGTGAGGGGCACCCCAACCTCCACGGCCACCAAAAGAGGTGGCCATGTCCCCATGTCCCCACTCACCCGCCAGGCATCCAGGTTTTTATCCGAGGGAGCACTGGCCAGGATGCTGCTTGGTGGCACCTTCCCTTGGGGAACAGGGGGATGGGGGTGAGTGGCCAGGGTGGCCCCAGGGTCACAGAGTCACAGAATCCTAGGGGTTGGAAGGGACCCGGAAAGATCACCCAGTCCAACCCCCCTGCCAGAGCAGGGGCACCCAGAGCACATCACACAGGAACGTGTCCAGGGTGATTGGAATGTCTCCAGAGAAGGAGACTCCACAGCCTCTCTGGGCAGCCTGGCCCAGGGCTCTGTCACTCTCACAGCAAAGAAGTTCTTCCTGAGATTCACATGGAACCTCCTGTGCTCCAGTTTGCACCCATTGCCCTTGTCCTATCACTGGACATCACTGCACAAAGCCTGGCTCTGTCCCCCTGACACTGCCCTGAACAGATTTGTGCCCATGGATGAGGTTGTCCCTCAGTCTCCTCTTCTCCAAGCCCAACAGACCCAGCTCCCTCAGCCTTTCCTCAGCAGGGAGATGTTCCCCTCCCTCCAGCATCTCTGTGGCTCTGCCCTGGGCTCTCTCAAGCAGTTCCCTGTCCTTCTGGAACTGAGGAGCCCAGAACTGGACACAACATTCCAGATGTGGCCTCCCCAAGGCAGAACAGAGGGGGAGGAGAACCTCCCTTGACCTACTAACCACCCCCTTTCTAACCCACCCCAGGAGGCCTTTGGCCTTCTTGGCCACAAGGGCACATTGCTGGTCATGGTCAGGGGACACCCCAGTGCAGCACAGGCACCCTGGTCTCAGCCAGGACGTGGTCCTGTCCCCAACCCCAGCCCCATCAGCCTCGGGGACAGGGAGCAGAGGGGGACAGGGATGGATCCTGCCAGTCTGGCTGGCATGGGAACCCCATGGGGACAGCTGTGGGCACCCTGTTGTGCCCCAGTGCAGTGACAAGAGAGGTGACCCCAAAAGCTGGTACCATCTCCGTATGAGCAGGGCTGTCCCACATTGAGCTATGGGGCAGGGACAACCAGGGAGTGGACAGGACAGGGCTGTCCCCATGTCCCCAGGCCTCTCTATGGGGCAGTGACTCCACAGATAGAACAGAGAATCCAGAGAGGGAACAGGACAGGGTCGTCCACATGTCCCCAAACTACTCTATGGGGCAGGGACCCCACGGAGGGAACATTCAAGGGCTGTTCTCATGTCCCCAAACTGCTCTAGGAGGAAGTGACACCAGGGAGGGGACAGGACAGGCCTGTCCCTGTGTCCCCACAGTGCTCTGTGGGACACTGACCCCAAGGAAGGGGCAGAACAGACCTGTCCCCATGTCCCTCCTCCCACCTGCTGTGGGTGGGCCAGGCCTGCCCCCGTGTCCCCAAGGGCTCAGGAACCCCCAAGCATCGCTCAGGACCCTCCAGCAGAGCCCAGGGACCCCCCAGCAAGGCCCGGGGACCCCCCAGGATCCCCCAGCAGGGCTTAGGGACCCCCCAGGAGCGCTCAGAGACCCCCCAGCAGGGCCTAGGGACCCCCCAGCACATCCCAGACCCCCCGCAGCAGCACCCAGGGACCCCCAGCACGGCCCAGGAACCCCCTAGCAGGGCTCCCAGGCCCCTCCAGCAAGGCCCAGGAACCCCCCGGACCCCCC